GGCTGGGGCCCCGAACCAAACCCTTGTTTTGTTTCGGGTGCGGATCCGCAATGGGTGGAAAGAAAACACATCCAACGAAAGTACATTGAGTGACCGACCGTTTCCGACGGTGAAGAACGATGGTTTCTTGGTTTGACTGCAGTCTAAGAAGACAGCACCCTCAACTAGCACATACTAGCACTATCCAGCCTGGGTGGTCCTCCACCCGGTTTTTCCAGGGGGTTTTGGTCCATCCAATCTCGTTTGAGTGGCTGGGATGGAGTCCATAAGACGAAGAATCAATCGAAAATGGGTCCAGAAGCTAGCTACTCAGAGCCGCTACTCAGGCTGAGGCTTATGTAGACTCTTGATAAATCGCCCCCGCCATGTGGAACAACCTTTGCCAACGCGGGCTTGATGCGGGGAGTATATATAATATATCATGTATACTTGGAGTCACAAGACGGGGTGGTGTTTAGTCCCCTTACGTGGGTGGAGTAGTTGGGCACCCTGACTACCTCCATGGATAGCACCCCGTCTTGCGACTGCAGGTGTATAGTCTATATTGTATAGTCATTGAGTTTACATGAGGGTTTTGAGTTTACATTGATGTGAAATGACTTGCTTTTCTTGGGCTTCTGGAGGCGATTACCATGATCGGCTTTTTGGGGACCTTTGAATCTAAAGGTGAATCTATAAGATACAATCAATAAGATACAATAAGTAGGTTTCATACCAGGACCCTCCTGTCCAGGCTGTTTGGAGACCCTCACAGGTGGTTTCTGGACACCGGGAAACACCTGTAGAGTCGGGTGCAGGTATAGAAGTTGATCTAAAGGTTGAGGATCCGCATGTTCCCGTACATACTGTATCATTTGAGAAACGTGTAAATTCACGATATTTATCAGCTTGACAGAGCAAGACTAAGAGCTCATTGTGTGGTATCAGACCCAGGGCATCCAGGCAGTTCCCACGAGAGCTCGCTGGGAGTCCCAGTTGGTTCCAGTTCGACTCAAACCAGTCCGACCGGTTCCGAGGGCCATTGGTTCCTTACTACTCTAGTGGTTTGCCTGGGATCCACGGAGATGATCAGCCTGCCCAGACGCGACCCTGGACCCGAATCCTTTGGAGGGGTCTGGGGTCGAACCAATCCCTAGGTTTTGAGGGACCAAGGGTCGTTTGGAGTGATCAGCCTGGGCGATATCAGGTCGCTATGATTGTGGCATATCCGCGCCTTGGAACGAGCGAATCAGCATGGCTGGCCATCGTGTCATCGCATTGGTGTGGGCGATCGCTCGGGTTCTGCCGCCCCTGAGAGCTCGGGCTGCTAGGGGCCTAGGGTTCAAACCACCATTGATTGAATCCCTATAAGGTCAAGGACATCATGTTATTGGATTTGGTCGTATCAAAACACTACTCACATGATGAGGTATAAAGGACCAGGTTGAACTTTGGTCCGATCACCAGGTTCATTCACCCAACTCTCTCAGACAGCCCGGTCGAAACCGCGGCACTGTCCGACTTCGCCAAGATCCACCGCACCCCAGATCGACTCTCCAAGCTGCGATCGCCCGAGCAAACCCCGACCACTTGGAGCTCGGCACCTGCCGGCGCCGTGCCGAAAGCGCGCCGTGTTTCACGCGGCGGAGCGGAGGGGACCCAGCGAGTCCGTCGGTTTCGAGCGATGCACTGAGGTATTACTGGTTTAGCTTGCCGGGCTTGTGCCCCAACCTCCCTTGGACGTGCCTGGGAAAGGGGAAGTGGTTGGACGACCGGAGGGCGCGAATCCAGGTCATGATCCGCTCCGGGTCATGAATGGAAAGGCTCCCTACATGAGACTTTCCGAAATGCTCTGTGGATTAGCAGAGTTGGTCGGGTTGAGCGTTTGGAGGTCAACCTGGCTCCTCCGGCTCTCGTTTTTGTTCCAAGCTCTAACCCAAAAATCTGCTGGGGAGCGGGAACAACGGCTAAGGGGGAACGGGTCGGTGCCTTCTTCCCCTTCAGGGAGCGCGGAACTCCCAGCTATGCAGGAGTCACGGCGAGTCTCGGGGTGCCGAGTCCTTGGAGGTTAGGGGGTGCCCAGAACATCCACTCACTGGATGAGACCAAACACCACCTTAGGCTGGCTTGAGTTGGCATGTGTTTGGACTGGACACTTAGCTGGCTCAGAGTGGGTGGTGTTTGAGGTGCATCAAGGGCAGTTCGAAGCCGAACTGCCCGAAGAAGGCCTCCGACGTGGGCGTGGTGCCGCAGGTTTGTAGCTTTGATCGCAAGGACGGGGAGGTGGGGATTTCCGATGAAGCAACTGATACCCAGACCAGCCAGACTTCAATACATATACTGCAATTAAAATTTATATGCCTCCAAATACATTCTGAGAAGGTGTTTCGGGTGGGTGGGTTTGGAGTCCAAACACCTTCTGAGGAGGTACTTGGAGGTGTAAGTAACGTCAACTATCGTAACATATCGTAACTATTCCTTCTATATTGGGACAACTCCTTTGCTGTTTGGCGTGAGAACATATAGGATACCTATTTTACAACCCGGTGGTGTTGAATTTGGAGGCTTATGACATGACTTGTAGTGACCCACTCATGTCAGAATGATTCATTCATTCCCTCAAAACTTCAGATCTAGGTCAGGAGGATCCTTCATGATCCTTCAGGGCTCCTTGTGACCAATCGTTTTCGTGCCAGCGGTCGTAGTGCGACAAATCCACTTCCACCTTCCCTGTACCTGGGTTTTGGTTCCACTTCCATCCCGGATCCACTGCCTCCTTCTCAGAGGGCATGTAGGGCTCTCCTGGCGCCTACATAAAATCGTCTCCTTCCTCACCATACCGACCTGGTTCGGCACGAGTGGATCCATAGGGCCCTTCCGGGCATCAAACCTCAACCCCTGCAGATCTCTCACCTCAAACCCTTGTCTAGGTTATGGTTTCGGATATATATTTGTATTTTCAACCCTTACTTGGGGATGATTGGACCCTTTGACTCATATTTTTCAAGTTGGTTGAAAACACCAAGCAGTTGTTGTGTTTCGGGTGCGGATCCTGATCGGGCACTTCCGCCAGGGAGTGCTCACTTGGATTTGCGCCAGGGCCGAGTCACGATGCTTCACCCAATCCTGTGCACCGAGTCCCTGAATTTGGGTGAACGGGGTGAAAGACGCGGAAGAAATTGGGCCTTCCAACAACCCCAGACACTCCATGGGACTGCCATATATGCCTACATTCACCCCCAAAACCACCCCAATGTAGGCATATATATGGCAGTCCCATGGGGTTTCTGGGGTTGTTGGAAGGCTCAAATGGAGCGGACTTCCCATAGCTTTGGGGTGCGAAAAACATGGTAAAACTCAATGGTTTTCACCATACAGACCGACGGTTCGAACACATGAGCCTTGGCTTGGTCCATGTGATCCATTTCCCAAGAATGTTTGCCCCAGTCTTGCTGATTTGATCAGTGCACTGGAAAGAATTGCAGGTGATGCTGTGGATAGGATGTGGACGCATTCGATTTCCAATCAACTGCCTACAGCTGCTAATTCTGACATCTGATGCATTCCAGGCCAGGAAGATCTTAGAAGTCTTCTTTCTTGCACCATATATGAGCAACTTTTCAGGTCAAGATCGAGGGTGTGCAGGCAAGAAGGACGAGGAGGCGCAGAAGTGCCAAGCCAACTTTTCGTGCCTGGGCGATCCAAAACAGAATTCATGCCACCGGAGCTGCTCTCGGTTCGGATCTGCACGGTGCTGGGTCAGGGTCAAGGGTTTTCTCACTCCCGGACTCCCGCGCTTGCGGAGAACTTGCACAAGCGGCAAGGTGAAATTCAGGAAAGTCTTCGAGGATGGCTACCAACAGAGGTTAAGTGACCTGAACTAGGACGACTAGGACCCGTCACCTGGGGTACCTATAGTCTATAGGCTTCTTCAACCTTGCTGCTACCCAGACGCTCCAAACAGCCCTTGGTACCTCAAAACCCTAGGGATTTGAGACCCCAGACCCTCCAAAGGATTCGGGTCCGACCTGTCCAGGGTCGCGTCTGGGTACTTACTTGATGTTTGCAGACATGACACCTGACTCCTGACACATCGCTGAGGTGAATCTGATGTTGGGTGTTCGTGAAAGCTGAGAAGCGACGGGCCGTCGTACAGAACCGTGGATGGACCCCTGTGATTTCTGTTGAAGGAGCTGGTCATGAAAGAAAACATAAGAAAACAAAGACGAACCTGAATGACCTCTATTTTGGACAACCAACGCCCCCCCAATGGCCTTTTCCTATCAAAACAGGGGTCAGTTGTGTTCCAGGCTCATCATAATACTCTTCGAGAGAAAGGCCTGCGACCACGCCCCATCATCCACATGGGCCCAGGGTGTTTGGGATTGTTTGGGATATACCATACCCAACAAGTACCATCCTTTAGCCATTCAAACAACCATTGTTTTAATGGTCTGAATCCCAAAGAACCATTGTTTTACTAAGGAAGTTTACACTTCACTACACCACCAGCTCAACCGTTCTTTTAATAGTCTTTGAAGGCTAGGGTTTAGGATGCGTTGCTTCTCAGCTTTGCTCCGTCCTGAGGGATCCAGACTCCCTGGGCGACTGCTGTGCCTCCGTCCAACCGGGGGCGGGGATGCACGGGCCAGGCGATGCCATTATTAAAGGCTAATGAAGATCCAAGAAGCCAAAACCCCTAGGAAGTCGAACCACCAGTTTAAGACACCGGAGAATGCTTGGATTTTGGCACTACAAAACCGGAGACCAACCCTTTTAGAATGGTCCAGTCCGGACTTCTCTGGCGTTTTTGTGGCCCATGTGCTGTGTTTTGTAGATCGGGTTGATGTTTATGTTCCCTATCATGCCCTAGGGATACCTTCTCAGAAGGTACTTAGACCCTCCAAACCTACATAACAGTGTCTCCAATCACCTTCTGAGAAGGTACTTGGATCCCTAGGGATGGATGAATCCTTTTTTGTTGGCGAGGTGTTTTGTACAGCCTGACAAACTACACGGTGAGATTTTCCCTCACCGTGGCACCAAGGGGCTGGACTCCAGTATTTGCGAAAGGAAAAGTAAGAAAGGGTGCATACATACTGTAGATCCCTGGAAGTCAAAGACAATTTGTTTAATTGTTGATCTGGTTTTGTAGTGTAAAGCCCTTAGTGAAACTTGTTCGGTAAAACAAGTGTGAATCGACTTCTAGGGGATATACAATATATGGATTCCCGTTGAAGATCCCACAGGCTGTTCGACTCACGACTCAACCGTTCTGGGATGTTTGCTGGGAGTACGAGTACGGGATGTGACCAGTTGACATCCATGTGAAGCTGATTTCACGGCCAATTGTTGTTGGGTGTCATTGTAGGCTCGGCACCATCAGCATGATTGGTCAAAGTTGGATTGCACTTGTTCTTCCCCGGAGCACTGAGGGCCTTCCCTTTTTTGATAGCCTGCAGGCTTTTGCCAAGGCCAAGACCAAGGTCTTGTGTGCATGCCGAATACTAGCCTCCCTTGAAACAGTTGTGAATACACTTGATCACACAGCCCGGGGGTATTGTCCTCTATTTGTGTGCGGTGCTTCCTTGCTATGTGAAGCGGTTTCGATATAGTCAATGTCATTAATCCCTAGGCCTCCAACAACCCTTAATTGAATAGGCCGAATCCCGAATTCACTCCGGATTTTACACTAACCACCCAAACGCTCCAAACGACCCTTGGTCCCTCAAAACCTAGGGATTTGAGACCCCAGACCCCTCCAAAGGATTCGGGTCCGACCCCTCCATATGAGGGCCCAGGGTTGCGTTTGGGCAGGTCGTTCCCATGTTTTTGGTCGTTCCCCGAAGTTCGACTTCGGGTGGTGAATGCACTCATCTCTCGTGAGACGATGGAAGCCGTACCTGGACCTTGGCATGATCGTTGAGCCAGGGTGCAAGCAGATTTCGATTGGACACATCCGTGCTGGGCTGGGGAGCTCTTACCCAAATGGGACATGTGGAGACCTCTGTGCCAGGAGGGTCAATGCCCTGGCTGTTTCTGGGCAGTCCGGACTGGCAGTCCCTAGAATTAGTCGTGTTTGGGTTTAGAACCAAAATCCCGCGTCCGCAGAGGGAACAGTTCCAGATGTTTGAGAGTGCCAACTGGTGTACAACAATAAGCTAGTAGTAACAAGTGCATCGCTTCTAGTAACAAGTGCCATACTAGTAGTAACAAGAAGCAAGTAGAAACAATAAGCTAGTAGTAACCACTCCAACCCATCCCACTTTGGGTGCAGATCTTCGTCCTTCCAACGTCCAGCCAGCTCTGCAGCGCTGGATCTTTGAGGTTTGAGATACAGCAACGGTGACGAGAAAGAACAGGCCTGGCGGCCTGCCCTTGAAAAACGTGTGTTGAGGTGTGTTGATGATTGTTTCAGGGAGTGTATACTTAAAAACCTCTTAAAACACATGATTGTCTATGAAGCATGTGCAAAACCGGCGTATGTCCGCACTTGCACCCGGTGCTACCACCTGAAGGGAGCACATCGAAGTCTACCTGGTCATAGCCTTTGGAAGTGGAACTGTTGTTTTCCTCAAGGGGCCATGTTCCATCATGTTCCACTTCCATGGGCTCGTCAGAGTGTATCCTGGTAGACTGCGGTTTTCAGGTGTTTTTCTTCCCGAACTGGGCGAATCCCCGGAAATATATACCAGCACCTTCCAACAGGTCTCCTCTAGAGGCTTTTGTAGACTTAAAAGTCGCAGGTGGTGACCTGTTGGAAGGTCCTGGTAAATATATATAGTTGTCATTTTCTAGGTTTCTTCAGCAAATCCACGGTATACATATATACTCCATTATACTGACCCCTGAAACCATCCAATTCCAAGTATTCCATACATGGAGTCGACATGGGGTGTTTTGAAACTCAGCAACTAAATTGTTGTGAAACGTTGAGAAAGTCCACATACGCCGCCGCCACCGTGAAAGAGATAAGTCTTTTTGGGGCCAGCCACCTGAACACAAGTCTACAAATGGCTCCCTTTTGGGAAGATGAACTGTAGGACCCCCGTCACAGGTCTTACGCGAGCGATGGGCGCCTTTGGTGGGGAAAAGAGTGCGCCAGAGCATTCACAAGTCCCAGAAGTCATGTAGACTCAAAAGTCGACAACCCAACATTTGGATGAAACAATCTTCATATGTTGGGTTTTATGAATCAAAAGGACTACATTGGCACTTGGATGCTCCTGGACTGTATCCAGGAGCATCCACAAATCAGGTTGGTGTTCAAAGCTTTCGCGCCCTCAAATCCAGGCGCCCTGCGCCGCGCACATGTGCACATGTGCACTGCTTCTTCTCACGAGATACCAGACATGACCTCCAAAGCATCCGACCATTGGCGGTGGCATTTTGGCTCAGAGCCTAAAAGTACGTTCTACTCGACAGGTCCTTTCTCAGCTGAGCGGCTCGCCTTGCATGCGCGAGTTGTGAAGGCACATGCTTACATACCGCAGGGATTCAAGTACCTTCTCAAAAGGTGCCACTGGACCCTCCTGGCACCTACATAACAGTGCTTGCAATCACCTTCTGAGAAGGCACTTGGATCCCTAGGGGCAAAAGGCAAGTGGACCTTCCCGTCGAGGTGTCCTGGCTGGAGATCCATGTGCGTAGCGTGAGGGGCTTCCAGCCAGGTGACCCCGACAGGAAGATGCCGGTCGTATTCCGAATGCGCAGTAATTCGGGCGGGCGGAGAGAAGGCAGATCAAAAGGATTCTAAATGGCAGCGCGTTCGCATTTTGGGCTACCCCATGGGACTGCCATATTTGCCGAGAAAAGGCCAGGGGTGGTGCCCCAAAGGGGGTGTCTTTTTTGGGGTCGTTCAGGTTCGGTATTTAGACCCTCCTGGCACCTGGGCCAACCCTCCTGGCACCTGGGCCCCCCAGTCCCACCGAAACGAAACGAAGTTACTACTGGAGGTATAGGGGGATGATGAACTTTGGTGACTTGACTCATGAACTATAGCCCATACACTCCATGTATGCCATTTATGCCATAGATGCCTACATTGACCCCCCTGGAACCACCCCTGGCCTGATCGGCATCTATGGCATTCCCATGGAGTGTTTGGGTATGGATCCGTTGTCGACCCGACGTTTTGGCACCTACAGAATCCTCGTGTCTCCTTCCTCACCGTACCAGGAAAACAACTGGGTTTGTAGAGCAAAATCGTTTTCCAGTCTGGTCCATTTCTCAGGTTCCATGTGTGTTTGTTCTCCCCCCCCCGCGTTTCCAGGTGGCATTCTCTTCAGGCCCTTGAGGCTGTGTTCTTTGACACATCGCTTGCTTCCTGAGGATTTCGACATCGACCATGGGCACCAAAGTGGCTGTGATGTATGCCTTTTGTGACTCGGTCGGATTTCATAGACGACGTCTTGAGCTGGGCTCTTCCCTTCGAGCTCGGGGCAGGCTGATCAAAGACTCATAACGATCATGGCATAGTCTTCTTTGGTGGCTTTTGCAGACGTCAAAGTGCAGGTTGTGCCCTGTTGGAGGGTGTTGGTACCTGGTTTTGCGATGCTTTGCTGTTCATATTATGTGTTGCATTTTCCCAAACTGGGTAACATTAATACTTACATTGTGTTTTCCAGTTATATGGACAGCAAATCCAAGTCTACAACCTATATAATTGTACCATAGTGAGATGGGATGACAATGGGCTTGGACCCATGTGCAATAGAGATGCTTTGATCCGCAAGCAAACCATACCCCAGTCACTTGATATCACTTGATCACCTCCGTTTTCTGGGGAATGGTGGCACCCCACTCAAAACCAGAACATCCAGGTCTAGAACAGGTGTCCACCATTGTCCACCAGCACCCGACTGGTCCAGCATGTACCAGTCCGGTGTCCAGGTTGGACCAGTCGGGTCTCCAAACAGCCGATCGCCCGGAGGGTCCACCTTCATTTTCGTCTTTTTTGCCTACAAGTCAAAGACCTCATTTTACTGGGCATGGTCATACAACACCAATACTTAAGGAGGTAAAAGAACCAGGTCTTACTGGGTCAGACTGGACTTGTAGGGTTTGTGTTCCGGCTCAGCCCGGGGCCGGAACACCGCGACGGGCGTAGGCAGTGTCTTCGCCCTGGTGCTGCAATCGATCGCGACGCAGATCAAGTGGCATTCCTTGCGGTTCATGAACGTGCCTGGGTGTAGGATCGGAGGATTTGATGGCTCTCCATGGAGAGTCCATGGGGTCGGACCGCAAGGGGGTAAAGGTCCGGTGCCCGATGCCCAGGTCAGTCGGGGCCTGGAGTCTCTAGCGGTCCCATATGAATGGTAGAGGGGCATGTGCAAGTGCTGGCTGTTTGATGGAGGTGTTTGATGGGTTGCATGGGGCTTCGGGGTGAGAAAACAAAAATCTGGCTACGAGTGTTGGGTTCCCCCCATGCGCCCCCGCTCATATACACGATATTACCCTACACCGACTTCGTCGTACCTCCTCAGCTTCGGTGTTTAGACCCACCCCAGTCCCACCTTCACCTCAGGTTCGGTACGACTGGAGTCCGGTAAAACCGATGTTCCTTTTGAACATGGTGGTCTCTCAACTTGGTGCCCGGGCTCGATGTGCCGAGTCGATCACTAGCATGACGCTCATGAAGATGGAGACCGGGCTCTTGCACCTTGGCAGCGGGTGGAGGTGGAGTCGAGCCCGTTACGTGGCAGGTACCGAGAAGAAAGCAGGATAAATCAGAAACTCATGAGAAAGCCGGCAGGTGAGGCATGAGGACATCTCAAAAAGCATGTTACAATATGTTACTACCTCTCGACTATATATTTCTGCCGATCAGGGATGCCCTGGACTTCATTGTGAAAAGCACCCATGGTTTCGGATCGACATGTTGCATCCCACTGCCTCCCTCCGGACAACGTCCGCGTCTTTCTTTTTAAGTCGCGAGTTTTCTCGCGGTGACCCGGTCTGGTGCAGGTACACCCGTCTGGACACTGGTTCCAGCCTTTTGTGCTTCTACCGCGACCAGTCTCGCCTGAAGCCCGGCATGTGCAGCTTGGCAGTCGTTCAGAGGACGCCTCACGCCGTAGGATCCCCATGTGCATTGACCCCGCCGGTGGATCCACGTGTACCGTGGATCCCGTCGGATCCCGTGGTTCGGTATGACGTGAACTTTAAAATCTCCAAAACCAATGTCTCCTTCCTCACTGGATCCCTACCTTCCCCAGGGATTGGATAGACATGGCGCCATGTCCGACTTCACCTACTAAGTCCTGCCGGACCATTGTGGACGGGTTCCCAGCCCCTATATAGGGACTCCATGTTTTCCCTAAGCCTTCAAGTACCACTGGCCGGATGTGACTGGATGTGACTGCATGGCGCAAACCGCACGCCGAGAAGACGACGACCCGCCAAAGACGCCGAACTGAAGGGCAACTGAACAGAATCAGCACGGGTGGCTTGGGATTCAGACCAGTACAGTGGTTTCAGAGCTTGGATGGCACCAACTTCCGATGGATTGTGCCAGATACACCGAACTGGCAGGGCTTTTGTGCCATTGACTCCCTAATTTGGGCTCCTGGCCGCCCCCTCCTGAGAAGATGGTGATGGTGGGTGCCAGGCGCTTCTAACCACTGAACCTGAGGATATGGGACAGGAGCCCTAGGGACTCTTGAATTCACTGCAAATCTATGCAAGTCACTGGTGGACGAGGAATCTCACCGTTTTTCCTTCTCGAGAAGAACTTCCCCTCCCAACGGTCCACTGCTGGTGGGTGCTCCGTTGGGGACTCGTTGGCCGCTTTCCGAAGCGGAAAAACAAGTCAGATGGATGGATGGAGAGCTGCAACTGGTGCAGCAAGGGACAGGGCGGCCGTCTATGTGCACTGTATGTTGTTCAAGCAGTGCATTCCAAAATTGCAATTAGTAGCCGCACTCCCGGAACAAACATGACACATTCTTTGGTCCAAACTTCGTCCACTGTCGGGCCCCCCCGCAAATGGGGCAGTCGGCGACCGCCCTTCTTCCGAGAGAAGCTACCGCTTTGCCAGACCGCTCCGTTCTTGGAGACCAAGCTGCGCCCTGCGCCACTGGCGGTCTGGCGTTTCCTCAACCCTTCGTTGAAACTTCCAACCATTTTCCCTCGCTGCGCTCTATTTGCATCGGTCTCCATGTATCCGTCCCCACTCTCGCTGTCGTCCCAGCCCTCGGCTTCATCACCGAGGTGATCGCTTATCGGAAGGCATCACGTTGCAAGATGCTGCGGATGAATGGTGTTCGCCCCTGCTGATCGCCACCTTCCCTGCGCCCTGTGAAGGCGTCGACCTCGCGAGACGCGAGACGCGACCGGGAGGTGAGGTGGGTTTCGTTGAAAGTGAATACATCGCGTGAGGGGAAGGAATGGTGCGTGAACACGTGAAACCTGCTCCGAAGGTTTTCTAAGAGGCTCCAGAAGGTGAGAAGCCGCATGATTCCTCATGTCCTTCGGTTTTTGTGATGCCACTTCCAAGGATTGAAACGTTTTTTCACTGCGAGACATCACAGCTGCTCAGAGTTTTCTTCAGGTTTCAAGATGGCCTACTTCATGGGCATGGGGGCCTTGTTCGCTATGGCTTTGAACGTGGTGGCCATTATCGTTTGCCTCTTTTTGATCGCCCAGTACTTGGAAGGCACTTTGCACAAGGGCTCGCCCCTTGGCAGCGGGTGAGAGAGAGAACGGACGGGCGTTCGTCGGGCCCGGTGCTTCGTCGGACTGGCCCCTGTTCAACGATCTGTTCAACTCCTAGCCGAAAAACTTCTACGGGATGGGTTTCCCAAACATTTAGATCAAGAGTTCGAACGTTTATAGTTAACCTTTATCATTTTTATCCAACTTTTGATGCAAACAGGAGTGTTGGAAGGGAAAGCTCCTGCATTTTTAGCCATAATGTTGACTCTTGATTAATCACCCCCCCATTTCAACAACCAAGGCTCCAAAATAATATACTAAAAAGACATTTATAAAAATCATTACTAATCATTACTTGGCTGTCTCTGGCAACACTATATACTGTAAATTTATAACATTGACCCCCCAAACCACCCCAATGTAGGCAAATATGGCAGTCCCATGGAGTGTTTGGGTAGTATTAGAGTGAACGAGGGGGTGACCTTGGAAAATGAGGAGGCCCCCCATCACTAGGCTTGGGCATTTGAACAGGCCCGAAAGGCTTGCATGATCCAGCACAATGCATGTTTGCTTGCGGAGGAACATCCAGGACCATCCAATGGTCCTGGTAGGGTCTTCCAAGGTCTACTGCTCATATATGCAGCTGTTGAGTTCCGTTTCCCTAGGCTTCCAAAAATCATTTATTGAAGAAGAACCATTGTTTTACTATAGTTTTTTTCCCATAGGGACTCGTTGCGAGCCTGGCCCTGGCACAAAACCAGGTATCGACTTTGGGCCATGGGAATTCACATCATCGCGACACTGATCCTGCTGGGCAGCTATGCCATGTACATCATCCTGGCCGGGACCGTTGACCGACACCGAACGAACGACGTTGATGCGATCGGTCCTTGCGCCTCGCGGCAGGTCGCGAGGACGGTGTGCGCGTGATCCATGGCGTTGACATCATTTTACTGGAGTTGGTCCCCTAAGGATCCGAGTCCGGACCCTCCATGGCGTTCGGGGTCGAACCCTCTAGTTCACAAGGGTTTGTACCCTCAAAAGCCTTGTTTTTGAGGGTGCGGATCGTTAGGGTCATACAATATTTAAAATATATACCTGGACCCGACTTCAAGTACCTTTAGAAAAGGGGACAGGACCCCACAAAATCAGGTACGACTGGGGCCCCATTGTCGGAGGTGCTTTGAGACTCCAGGTAGTACTCCAGGCATATTTAGATGCCACAAGAGGCCCCCCCCACGACCCCATAAGGATCCACAAGGTAGATAACATTTTAAAAAAATAACACACACACTCTGACACTTGTATTCAGTGACTCAGTTACCACGTTGGGAAAATGGTGAGGGAACAGCAAGGTGCATGAGTCGGCCAAAACAGTATTGTTTAAAAAGTGTTTCCACAGGTGCAAGTCTGCAGAACGATCTGTCGGCGCTGCTCAGCGGGAAAGCGGCTGCAAGGCTGTGGCGGGGATAGGTTTGGGGGAAAGTATCGTGGAACCACCATGAAAGCAAGAGAGAGTGATTGGAACGGCTTGGTCAAAAGTTCAAAACTGGCGCAGGTACGTTCGGATGATCAGTCCGAATATCCCACTCTGTGACCTAGCTTCGTTGAACTGGGTCAGTCACAGAGTGCCCAGTTCCCCTGCCTGTGTAAAGTGGAAAGAGTGGTGGTGAAAGACCCTTTGTCCAGGGTGGGACACACACAGGTCGCCGCATTCGGCGCTTTTTTCAAAAACCGGTGGCAGGCGTGGAAGTTATGCCCCTTTTGGACATATAGGTTCACGAGTTCAGCCGCAGCAGCGTCAGCGCTGGAGGGTGGAAATGTGTATTTTCGAATGGTGTGGAGTCGTGATTGGAGGCCTGATAGAGCCAAGCGCTGGCTCCCGGCGGTTGTGGAATCCCGGATTTTCCAGGGTTGAGAAGGTTGCATGTAGGTGATAGTGCGTTGTGGGAGGTCGATGTTGAAACCGAGGAGATGAAAATCCTCCACCGGTTCGAGTTCCACAGGGTCGCCAAAGAAATTGTGGTGGATAAGGGTTTGGATAGCCGGGTGCTGAAGGAAATGTTCGTTGTGGACAATGAAACGGTTGTCAACATAGCGATAGTAAGTAAAGTGGAGGTCTGTGTGTTGAAGGAGGTTGTTGTGTATCTGATGCCAGGAGTGCTCAATGAGGGTGATAGCAACGTTGCATAGGGCTGGAGAGAGCTGGGATCCAATCCCGGCCCCTCGGATTTGTTTGTAAGTGTTGTTGCAAGCCCGGAAAATGCATGTGTCGAGGGCAAAAGCCACAATGGTGGTGATGTCGGAAGTCTGGATGGTGCGCTGGGTAGGGTGTTTGCGATGGTGTCTGCCAATGTGAGAGTGGTGGAACGGATTGCCGGTGGCCTGGACATCCACCGTTAAGGTGTGTGTGGATTGCTGTTGTTGCCAGTGGAGAACAAGGGAGTGGACTGCATCGATGAGTCTGTGCTGGGGGACGGAGTTGAAAAAGCCGACCAGGTCATCATTGGTGGCGTGTAGTGAGATGTCGGGTGGGGTTTGGGTGAGGTAACTGTGAAAGTGGTGCCAAAGCTGTGGAATGGACATTTGGCCTGGATGCTGAGGGTAGAGGTGTTGGAGGATAATGTCAAGGGCACGGCTGGTGATGCGTAGCAAGTTGCCGCTGAGTGATTGGAAGTAGGATATAATTGTACGGCCTTTTTGCCAGTGCTTCTTCTCTTTAAGGTGGACAACACCGTAGGGGATGTTGAAGTCTTTTCGGAAGCCCCACTTGTAGCGGGTGCGCAGGATGGGGGGGACGGTGGCGGCCAGGTGGTCATGGATGTTGGCGGCAGTGATGTAGGGAAGTGGTTCAAATAGTTCGGGGGATTGCCAGGTGTTCAAGGCGCCAAAGAAGTATTGGCGAGGGCAAAACAGTCGCAGTTGTTGGAGCTCATGATCGGCATGGTGGAGTAATGTGTGTTTACCCAAATGTTCTTGGAGTTGACGAAGCAGGCGGGCCGTAAAACGGGGTTGCTGCTTGAGGTGTGTGTTGTGAAGGCGCCATTGGTGCTCTAGGAAAGGCTGTAGGTGTTGAACTAGGGATGGTGGAAGCCCTTGTAGTTTGAGCCATTTGGTATAGGCCGTCTTGAAAATGAGGAAGTACCGAGCTTTGCTTGGGTAATAGGTGCTGTTCATATTGGCGTTGAGGAAAATGCTGAGGTGTGTAGGGAGTTGGAGTTGGTCAAGTGTAAGGATGTAGTGGCCGTTGATGGTAGGGGTATCGGGATCCTGCAGGAGGGTGCGAAGGTGATCGCATGCACAGGGGAGGTCTGCTGAATCTGGCGGGGAGTGGAGGGTGTCCTCCCATGTGCGGTGGTTGTGCAGGTGGGAGCGGAGGGTTTTGTGGGCGGCTTCCCTCAGTCTGTGGGAGGGGAGGTGGAGGGGAATGGTGAAATGCTTGTGCTGCTGGATGGTGGTACGAAGCCATTGTTGGCAGTGCTTGGTAAAGTCGTCATGGGCCAAGAAGGGCACTGTCAATGGGATGTTTGGCTTTGGTGGCGTGAGGTTGCGGTAGATCAAGGCTTTGTTGAGGATGTGAAGAGCTCGGCTGCGGCCAGGTTCTTCCAAATTTGCGGCCATACGCCGGATTGCATACACCTCGAGGTCCGTGTGGCGGCCGCTTCTTATCTGTTTTGCTGCCTCAAAAGAGGCTGCGGTGTGTTTGGTAAGGTTGCGAAGAAGTTGGAGGGCGTGATGCTTAGTGGAAGTGTAGAGGTGTGGTTCTCTGAGGGTGTACTGGCGTTGTCGAAGGCGTCGGAAAAGTCGTTTGTGGGTGGCTAGTCTGGAGTAGAAGTGGGCTCTGTGTTTCGCGAACTGCCATCCCTGAGCTTTGAGTTTGAGGTGGTGGGAAATGAAAGGCCAGTTGAGTGAAGGCATCCAGTTGGCGATGTAGTGGTGCTCTTGGATCCAGGCTTGGTCGTAGGTGTCATGGGAGGTGAGTTGAATGCTGGTGTAGTGGTGGATGTTGTTGTGTGAATGCCAATAACGTAAGGAGAGTTCTGCAGAAATGGGAATGTTGTTTTGGAGTTGTTTTAGTTTTGCGCGGCGATTGTGCTCGCGGTGGGGGGTGCCGATAGCTGTGGAGCCAACGTAAAAGTGGCCATGTTGGTGGTAGCAGCGTTGGGGTTGGTCGGGATTGAAGTGGAGCTTGATGTAGACGGAATTGGAAGAGAGGAAGTTGTGGTAGTGGTAGGTGTGGGGTAAAATGTGGAGCTGGCGGAGGCGGTTGCGCCATTGTTGTGAACGACGGGTGTTGGACGGGTATGCGAAAAGGAGTGTGATGTGGATGAGGCCGGTGGTAAAGATGGCCTCGGCGCGGTCGATGTATTGGGTGCGGTGAATGAGCATGGAAAGTGCTCGGTGCAGGTGGAAGAGTTGGGTGAGGTTGGTGTGGCTGGGTTGCTGCTGGGCCAAGATGGCGAGTCAGCAACCAATGGCTGCGCCGACTCCCACCAGCTGTTGTAGGCTGCGTCGGTTGACCCGGTTGAGGGGGAGGCCATACTTGGTGGCTGCTTCTGTTAGCTGCTGCGTGGTGACTTTGCTTGTTTGCAGCAGTCGGATGACTTCCTTCGCAGCTTCTTGGATGGTGGGGTCAAAGGTGGTGACCCATTGTTGGATCTCTGGGTGGTTCCAGCCTTCGGGGATATCGTCTTGCAGCGTGGGGTGTGGTGGTTGCAAGACGTCGGTGATGGCTGGTGGTTTCGGTGGTGGTGGCGTGGGTGCGTGAGAAGGGGCGGCTGGTGCAGAAGATCGGCTGGTGTTCTTGACTGGTGTGAGTGGGTTGCCCAGGTCGTGGAGTTTCTGACGTGCACGAGCCAGTTCGTCGTTGGTGTTCTTGAGGGCGCGTAGGGCGGAGCCTTCCGCAGGTGCTGGAGAGTGGGTTTGCAGTTGGTCGATAAGCAGTTTGATGAGGGGAGCGTGGAACGCTCGGGCATGGGTAGTTTTGTTGGGAATGTCTGTGCTCTGTTGTGTGTGGAGAGCTTCCGCGATGCCATCAAGGTCAAGGCGGTTCTCGCGGAGTTGTTGGAGAAAATGGGTCACGAAGACCGACTCCGCTATGCTTCTGGTGGCAATGAAACCTGTGAATTTGCCGTTGCTCAGGGTACGGGCGGTGAACTCGGAGGTACCGTGGTAAGCCAATTGCCACGGGAAAACCTCAAAGGTGGGGAGGCCGGCCACTCCTGCTTTTCGAGACCACTGGGTGGGTTGAATTGTATGATGTAATTGGTGGCCGTGCAGGGTGTTGGAGTCCCAATGTTGCTCGGTTGGGTTCCAGGAGTCGGGAACAGGTGGTGTGGGAGATGGGATGTGTGGGGGCGGTGGGGCAGGCGCTGTGGTGCCACGTGTGGTGGGTGGTGGCGGTGGGCTGTGTTGGAAAGTCGATGGTGGTGGAGTAACGGGTTCGGCCGTGGGCAGGGGTGGCGGTGGCGGAGGTGGAAACTCCGGCTGGGAGGTGGGTGCCTGGGGTGGGGGTGTGTGCTGCGATGGTGGTGTGTACGGTGGAGTCACATATGGGTTGGAGTGGTGGACGTGATGTGTACGAAGTGCGTGAGTGAGTGGGCCATAGGTGCCTGTGGGGTGGTAGGCGTGGTGTGCGGTGGTGGGAGGAGAGATTGTGGTATTTGGGTTGGTGAGCTGCTGATGATGTTGCTGCATCAAATACTGATTCCAGTGGTATTGCTGCCACTGCGCGTCCATGGTGGCTGGGCGAAGTATCACTGGATCGTGGGCGTGGAGCACCGGTTGTTGATTTGAGCAAGCTGAACATGCGAAAACAGGTGTAGGACAGTCAAATGAGG